ACTAAAACATAATATATAAGAAAATTAAATTTTAGAAGTCACCATCACACTCATATTAAGCAAAGAAATAAAACAGGCTGGGTGCAGTGCCTCATGCCTGTAATCTCAGAACTTTAGGAGGATGAGGCAGGCAGATTACTTGTGGTCAGGAGTTCGAGACCAGCCTGACCAGCCCCCTTCCACTAAAAATACAAAAATTAGCCTGGTGTGGTTGCGCACTCCTGTAACCCCAGCTACTTGGGAAGCTGAGGCAGGAGAATCATTTGAACTTGGGAGGCAGAGGTTGCAGTGAGTGGAGATCACACCATTGCACTCCAGCCTGGGTGACAGAGCGAGACTCCACCTCAAAAAAAGAGAGAGAGAGAAAAAATAAATAAAACAAACAAGCAAACTAAAAAGTTTAAGAATAAAAATTAACATAACACTTCTATCTCTTTATTGGGAAAACAATAAAACTTTACTGAAGAGGTGAAAGCTCAATGAAAAAAATTAATATATAGATTTACTGTAACTCCATTATAAATCTCAAAAAAATTATCCTGGAACTAGGCCATATCATTCTTAATTTTCTGTGCAATTGTAAATTATCAAAAAGTTATGAGGCATTTTTTAAAAGACTCAAGAAGGGACACATTATATTACTATCAAATCTCATTGTAATTCTAAAGAAATTAGAACAATGTGATATTGTCCCAAACAGAACTGAAAATCTAGAAATAGATATTTTGATATACAGAAATTACATATGTATCATTTAAAATGTATGGGAAAATATGCATTTTGGAAACTACTATATTTAAAAATATACATAATTTGGATCTCAGTCTTATAATGTGCATTGAACTGAATTCTAATTAGAACAATACCTAATGTGAAGTGAAGCAATTATTATACTTACATGAAAACATAGGAAACCTTATAATATCAAAACAATTTTTTTAAAACTAGACATAACATGTTCAAACCATAAGTCAAAATATCAACAAATGTGTTAACACCAAAATTAAAACATCTATTATGACAACAGGTATCATGCATGTGGTTAAAAAATGAGGGGTAGAATAAACAAAATGTCCCAGAATGAGACAATATTTGCAATTTGCACCACTGACAAAAGCTTGGAATTTGAAATACATAAAGAACTATAACAAATAAGGAATTGGACAATCTAATATAAATCTGGCAAAATATGAACAACTATTCATATAAGAATAAAGACAAATGGTGAACAAATATATTAAAAAATCAATCTCAGTGGTTACTACTTTTTTTTTTTTGAGACGGAGTTTCACTCTTGTTACCCAGGCTGGAGTGCAATGGCGGGATCTTGGCTCACTGCAACCTCCGCCTCCTGGGTTCAGGCAATTCTCCTGCCTGATCCTCCTCAGTAGCTGGGATTACAGGCACGCACCACCATGCCCAGTTAATGTTTTGTATTTTTAGTAGAGACGGGGTTTCACCATGTTGACCAGGGTGGTCTCGATCTCTTGACCTCGTGATCCACCCGCCTCGGCCTCCCAAAGTGCTGGGATTACAGGCTTGAGCCACCGCGCCCGGCCGGTTACTATTATTTTTAATAGTACATATTAAAAATAATAAAACTTTTTTCACTCACCAAATGGGACAAGATTATAAAATTTGATAAAATTTTGTGTGGGGAAAAGATATTAAAAGATGACTTTAAATCAAGTCTGTAAAGGTTATGCAATTTTGTAGTCTATCTGAGAGTAATTTGGCACAATGTATTAAAATAAGAAATTCATTTGATTTGGCAATTCTAATTCTTGATATATCTATCAGAGAGACATTCATATGCATAAAAAGGCATAAAAAAGATTATGCTCTTCAAGAGTAAAAAAAAAAGTAGAGTTCTTCATAGAGAGAAGAATTCCAATTATTATTAATCAGATATATGATTATGATGCATGGTTGATAGTCTTATGGTCAAGGATAAAATATTTGTTGAGTCTAAAACAAAGTTGCTGAATGATTTGTACTTTATGGTATCATGCATGTTTTAAAAATTTCCCAAAGTACTACCTCGCAGCTACATTTGTTTGTAAGCACCTAGATATAGTCTTAGAAGTGTATGCATTAAATTGATTTGATCAAAATAGTAATCACTGATGGTGGGGGACTAATATTGAATTGCAATGGTGTTGAAAACGACTGGCTTTAAAACTAATACTTTATTTTTTCTTGGTAAGATGGCTCTCATATTAAACGAGCAACTGTCTATTTAGTAAGCTCCATTGTCTCTCTTCAAATTTTTCTTTTGTATTCAGCCCTTTTACTCATCAACAGTGTGACAGTCTTTGCTGAGGCTTTCATTTGGATTGTGCCGATACACCCATGTTTCTCTGATCCTCTATATGGAGCCCGCAGTGTTATTATAATTTGCAATCTGATATTGTGGCTTTGATGTCTTTCCTTAAAATCACCCGATTTTTCCACTACTTTAAAATAAAGGTCATGTTTTTATTGCTCATAAAAGCCTTATCACCCTCTGGCCCTAGACAACCTTTACTTATTAACATATTTCTATTACATTTCCACCCATGCACATCAGCTCCGCGGAACAACTGTGATTCCTTGAATATGTCATTGGGTTTTAAACTTTCAAATAGTACATTTATAAACAGAATTTTCTTCACCCTTTCTGCATCAGCATACCTTATAGGTATCATGACGTTTCAGCTCAGGCATTGCTTTTCTTTTCCCTGACTACCTTTCTTCAAACACACAGCCTGGGATGAGTATTTACTTCCTCTTATCACACTATGGCACAAAGTGTTGAGTACCTGACCTCAGGTGATCTGCCGGCCTCAGCCTCCCAAAGTGCTGAGGTTACAGGCTTGAGCTACTATGCCTGGCCCCATAATGTTATTTTTATGCCATAAGAATACAAAGACATTTCATGAAAACACACACACACACACACGCACACACACACACATCCATACAGTCAATATCACAAAAGCTTACATGGCTAGTTGTATTGTACTACCAACTGAGTTATAAAATTCAAGAAATAGCCATTTAAGCTATAGGGGGAAGGCATAAAGGTGCTTTTTAAAGTTATTGACATGTTGATTTGGGGAAATTCTTGTGATACAGAGAGGAAGATGACAAGCAGACAGAAACATGTAACTGCCTGAAATTCAAGACAAACTTTATTATCAGAGATATAGATTCGGGAAAAATCTGCTTTGATGTGGGAGTTAACAATATATGTATGTAAATACAATTGCCAAAGGAGAGGGTAGGGTAAGAATAGCTAATGGTCAAGTAGGAAATGAAGTTCAAAGACACTAGAAGTAGAATGGGTTTCTACTGAATCTAAGAAGAGTGGATTTACTTAAATGCTGGAAAGGTAAGGGTGGGTGGGAACATATTTCAGTAAGTAGAGGGGACTAAGTGAAAGTGATTAGATCTAATCACAAAAATTTTTAATGAGTAAAGGTTTTTCTATAGAAAGTGATGGAATAAAGACTGAGTTGAGGATTTCAAATATGTGGTGAATATTAGACATTGATTTTGATGGGAATAAAGTAAGTCTCTAACCACAGAAAATCAAATTAATAAACTAAAGATAGATTCTCTAAATTTGCAGGGCCATAAAATTTAATGTATTGCATAATCAGCATCTTCTAGCCGTTTTGAATTTTCAAGATGTTAAAAAAAGACGTAGTAACATTGGTTCAATTTTATAATTGTGTTAGCAATGTATGATCAAAAGCTAAGATTTAAAAAAATGAGATTCCATGTAAGATACAAATGATCCACCTGGATAAGTAATAAAACATTGGCTGAGCAGCTAAAATAAAATCAGAGTGATTCAATTCCTTAGATCCCCTATGTGTCAATATAGAAGAAAAATATGAATAAGGGCATAACTGGGTTGCAAGGTGAAACATTTATTATAAACAGTGGAATATAGAGGTTACAACATCGCAAGTAGAGAAGTTCCACGTTAATTAGCTCAAACAGCATTGAAACAGTGATTATGTGATGTAGATATAAATTTTGTGTTACGGAACTCAACATTTTGAGAGACTCTCATGTTAAAAGAGTGATCCGCATTAATATTAAATTACTCTGGGGCTATTGTGTAGATGAATGATAAATGAATAAGAGAGCTTGGAATGCAAGTCTCATTCTATTTGAGCATGTCTTCCTTACCTAGCCATGGTGACCTTCAAGATGCAGGAAGTCCAGAACACACCTCCGGCATTGAGAAACCACTTCTCTATTATTTCTATTCTAAGTAATTACTACAATTGAATTCTTAGAATTACATCTAGAATCTGGGCCATTTCTCAATGTCCTCTTTTCTTTGCTGAACAATGAGGATGTAAGTAACATATCCACTTCGTAGGAGGATTACATGTGTGTTTATGAGGATTTATGTGTGTTCTAATGATTGAAGTATAAAATGAATGTGATAAATACGACTGCTAAAGTGCAGAATTAATGTAGAATGTTATTATTGCTGCTGTTGTTATTATTCATAAAGCAGGTAGGAGTGGTAGCATCTGAAAGTAAATGTAATATTGTGGAATATTCATTGTCTCTTGACTGATTGTGTCATTGATTCATGCTTCCCTGAAGGACTTTTTACCTTCCTTTTACACAGGACATGACTTATGACTAAGTTGATATTGAAGGTTGAAAAAAACACAAATAAAATTGCAGAAATATTCATTTATTAGGAAGCCATTTCAACTATAGAATCATTTTGAATGGGAAAATCATGGAGTAACTTTTCCTTGAACTTTTTTTGTTAGCTTTCCTATGTTTTGAGAAAAATAAAAGTAACTATCATTTACTGAGGTCACTGAAACAGTGAAATGGTTACGATGTCTCTGAGAGTGTGATTGAGCAGTAACCAGCCCTGAACTTCCCAATGTCCCCTCCTCCACACACATACGTTTCTCAAATGTCCTCAATATTATCTTCTTTCCCAGATGTGAGACTCTAAAGGGTGATTTGAGCCCTAGAGAGACCTCCTTGGTCTTTGAAGTCTCTGTAGAATAACCCTGTTTGTGGACATGTGAAACTCTCTATGGCACAGTAATGGGAGGAATACTGGAGCAGCTCAGGACATAAAAGTCCCCATGGAGTAGTGACAGTGGTTTTGCCAGGCAAACCTCAGGCTGCTTAAGAATCATTTTCTAGTTGAGGCTTCTCTCAGCAACAAGGTGAGTTTGGACATAAAACCAGAAGATAAGATTGGCCAGTCCACAGGACATGTTCTGATATCATTACTGAAGTCTGCAACTGGCTCCCAAGTACTTCTTTCCATTTCTCCTTATCTTCCTTGTTCTTCATTCCTCTACCCAAGTGGAGACAAGTCCTGTGCCTTGTCTTCTTTCCCACTCACATCTGCTTTAAAAGAAAGATATAAAGTCACAACTTATTTATCCTAATGGTGTACAGATGACTCTTTTCTAAGAGGTGGATAGAAATCAGATCCTGTACAGTGAATGCATTGCCTTTGGAGGTAGGAAGCTCTCAGTGACTGAAATAAATGTAGGCAGAAGGTAAGTGTCAGGTATAGAATATGGCATGCATCTTTCTTGATTGGTTAGGTATTGGGTCTTTTAAAAAAATCCTTTTATCTAGAACCTGGAATAATTGTAGTAAAGAAATGTTCTCCCTAAAGAAAGAAATTTGTGGCTCTACTCTCAGGTGAAAGATGATTACAATTAATATCTATTTCAAGAGGGTTTTTATTTCTGTTTCTTAAGGCCCACCTGCCCATCTGACATACTAGTATAATGAAGAATAAATTCTTCTTTTAAGGTCAGTCTCAAGCTTATACTATTAATCACAATGTCCTAGAATGCCTGGAAACCTGAGAGTTTTTTCTAACACTTAGAGCAAATGAAGGGGTTTCTTTTTGTTTGTTTGCTACTACTCACATAGTAAACAGATTTTATAATTTATTTAATTTGCCACCTGCTCTTTCAATCTAGTATCTGTAATGAGGCCACATAAGCTGCGGGAGCCTAGGGAGCAGATACAGAACACTTACATGGCCTGTTTTCCCAGAAATGTGGCAGTATGTGCAGTAGAATGACAAGCCAGGAAAAATTTTCAGAGGCAGAACTTGGGGTCCAAGAGCCTTATCTTCATAAGGTAGACTTGAACTCGACCTGTTTTCTAGATTTTGGGCAATATAGATAAATAAAAAATCTGAGGACTCGTGCAAGATCAAGAGATGCATTTTGGCTTTGTCTTCTCTAAAGGAGCACCCAAGCTTCCACTGCACTTAGTTGTAACTTTCCTCAACAAGACTATGCAGTTCCCTTCACTCCCTACCCCATTTTTTTCTCTTTTTTTTTAATCTACCAACAGGTTGTTGACCCAGGGCAAGTTATTTTCTTTATCTAGGCTTTAGATTTTCTTTCTTTTTTAAAATATATATTTTATTCTGTTTTAGGTGTTCGGGTACATGTGAAGAACATGCAGGATTGTTGCATAGGTACATACATAGCAATGTGGTTTTCTGCCTTCCTCCCCATCACCTATATCTGGCATTTCTCCCCATGTTATCCCTCCCCAGATCCCCCCCATCTGCTGTCACTTCCCTAGATCCCCTCCACAGACCTCAGTGTATGATGCTCTCCTCCCTGTGTCCATGTGTTCTCATTGTTCAACACCCGCCTATGAGTGAGAACATGTGGTGTTTGATTTTCTGTTCTTGTGTCAGTTTGCTGAGAATGATTATTTCCAGGCTGTGAAATAGTTCAGTTTTTACCTCTGTTATTCTTTGAATTTTTGGTTTTTTTCCTTTATTTTTTTCACTCCTTCCATTTTCCCACCTTATTTTCTTCTTTTGTCTCTCATTTTCTCATTTCTCAAAATTTTCCCTCATTCCTCCTATTACAATTGTTTGACAAAATTATAAGAATTTTCTTTCTCAAAAATCACTAAGACACGAGAAAACCAGAAGAACAGTTATTTAGATGGATGAAAACTTTTATTGGCATTTCATTTAGTTCACAAACTTGAACTAAGTCAGCTGTATTTCATGAGAGAAATGGAAATAAATTGACATTTTACATAAATAGATAAAATACTCTGGCTATGGTTAGGGAAAACTTGATTAGAAATCTTTCAAAGAGTATTTTTGGAGATGTTAAAAACATTTATAGTATGCTTTTTGATTTATCATGAGAATGGTTCAATCAGAAATGTATACACAGCCTGGAGATGGAATGTTCAATAATTGTAAAGCAAAGAGTAAATTATTTAAAAAATGCAAGGGATACAGAATTAAATGTGATTATTTGTGACAGAGGATAATCTCTTAGTTTTCACCTCCACTGCAAAAACTCTGGTCAAAAAATGCACACAAACAAAAATAGAAAAAAAAATTCAATATTAATACTGAATATGAAGAACAAAACTTTTAGCTCAAATTTATCATAATAAAAGAACATATTTTCTTTCTAAGACTTTTAAATGTTAAATCTCACACTGATCCTATGAAGTAGATATTGTGATTGCCCACACATTACATATGTAGGGGCTTTACTGAGGACCAGGCAAAGCTGGGATCTAAATACAGGATGTGTGGATCTAAAGTCCATGCTCTTAACACTACATTGCCTCTTAGTCAACTTGATTCCAATCAATAGATCAAGGTAACTCATGAGAGTCTTAAGGTTAACAGATTTTCAGTGAAAATATATTCTACTTTTGGCAACCGTGTCCAAAGTAGAATGAGCCTATCAAAGGGTCTTGGATAGTTAGTATAGGTACTGGTTCTGGCAATGTGAATGTGCCTTCCAGATCTCCATGGAGGCCTCCATAATCCAAAAAATCAGGGTGTAACACGATCATTGTGCCTTAGCAATTAGAGATTGCCAGATAATTCTGATCCTGAAAAAGTCTTCCGCTGAGCCCTGGGTATCTTACTTTCTCTTGGACAGAATGGGTTATTCTAGACAACAATTGCTGTTGTTGCTTTACCAAGTATAATTTACTCCGTCATATTCTAAGATTTCACTAATTTAGAGGTGACAAACATTTTTAATTTTAAATGATTGAAGTGTCTGTGCTTCTTGGGTTGACAATGATTCTGAGGCTCTGAGGAAACAAAGGAGGGGCATGCTTGAAGAGAAGCATAGGTGTGTGCAAGGGGTATTTCCACCCCTGTCCTAGGTACAAGATCTATTGCCTTCATGAAAGCCCTGGACATAAGAAGTGTGATGGCTGGGAGTGGCATTCTTTGCAGATAATCAAATGATTTATATTTCATATTGACTCTGTTATACTTATAGTGGCTGGGTTATTATGTTCTCAGTTTCTGACTCAATAGCTTATAAGACATCAATTAGAAACAGGGAAGAAAGTAACAGGAGAGGCAGAAGATATTTTACTTAATGGGTTGGTGCTACAGTGTCTGCTTTAAGCTGAATATGGCTTAATTATTCTTGGGTGAGTCATTTTTCCTTAGGTCAGTAGAACTTTACGCAACAGGATACACCTTGGAGTAATAAGTTTAGGGATTCTGTCTTCTCTTAAACTTTGCTTCCCCTACCCCCTAACATACACATTCATGTGGGAAAATAAATAGCTCCACTCTCAAGGAATTCATAGTCTAATGTATCATTAATCTTTGTCACTGTATTTTTAGGAAACCACTCATCAGGATCCCACAGGTTTCTTTCCCATGGTAACCTCACGTTGGCATCATGCAGATAATTACTCCCACTTCCAACACCTTTACTTTGTCTTAACTGGAATTCCAGGGCTTGAGCAAAAGTATTATTGGATGGCATTCCCACTGGGTGCTATATATGTCGTTGCCCTCTTTGGCAATAGCATCATAATCTCTACCATCAAATCTGAATCATCTCTACGTATCCCTATGTACTACTTTCTGTGCATGCTGGCATTGGCAGACATGGGGCTTGCCCTCTGTACTTTGCCCTCTATGCTAGGAATATTCTGGTTTAACTACAAGTCCATTGCCTTTGATGCCTGTCTTGTTCAGATGTACTTCATCCACACCTTCTCAGCCATTGAGTCTGGGGTGCTGGTGGCAATGGCCTTTGATCGGGGTGTGGCAATCTGGAGCCCTCTCAGGTACAGTGTCATTCTAACCAACGGTGTGGTCTGCAAAACAGGGTTAGTCATCTTGTCAAGGGCAGTCTGTGTTGTCTTCCCTGTGCCTTTCCTCATCAAGAGGCTCCCCTTCTACCACTCCAACATCCTCTCCCACTCCTTCTGCCTCCATCAAGATGTTATGCACCTTGCCTGTGCCAGCACCTATGTCAACAGTCTCTATGGCCTCATCGCTGTCATCTTCACCAAGGGTTCTGACTCCCTATCCATCCTCCTCTCCTATGTGTTTATACTTCAAACAGTAATGGCTATTGCCTCAAGAGAGGGTCAGCTGAAGGCACTCAACACCTGTGTTTCACACATCTGTGCTGTACTAATCTTCTATGTGCCACTCATTGGGGTGTCTGTCATTCATCGCTTTGGAAAGCACCTGTCACCACTGACTCATGTCCTCATGGCAAATGCCTACCTTCTTGTACCCCCTGTGCTAAACCCCATAGTCTATACTGTGAAGACCAAAGAAATACGAAGGAAGATCATCCAGATATTTGTTCAAACCAAGATTACAGCAGAAGGTTAGAGGCTGCCTGTTTGAGAGAGGAAGAGTCTATTCTGCAAAAGCTCAATTATGACTATGAGAAATAAAGATTATTTATTTATTTACATTTTCTGTGTGATTTTAATTGGGCAAAGAAAGATCTCTCTTCTCACAGAGAATACTTTCTTTCCCAGTGCCAAATTGTGCATTGCCTAACGTAGAAAGGGTAGTATCTACAAGAACTATTCAATGTACTGTTCTGTAACCCTATATTTAAGACAGTATATAACAGCTAAAGGCAGAGATTATTACAAATTCCATTTTTAAATAAATCTTTTGAACAGACATAGGCCATAAGTTTTATGCCTTTTAAATTAAACTTTCCTAAGCTAATTTAATTTAGTATTCTAGTTCAAGAGTTAGGAGTGGCCTCCATGGGCTTAGTAGGAAAGAAGCAAACTGTACTCATGAAATAATAAGAAAACACCAGGGGCCGGGCATGGTGGCTCACGCCTGTAATCCCAGCGCTTTGGGGGGCCGAGGCGGGCAGATCACGAGGTCAAGAGATCCAGACCATCCTGGCCAACATGGTGAAACCCTGTCTCTACTGAAAATACAAAAAATTAGCTGGGCATGGTGGCGTGCGCCTGTAGTCCCAGCTACTTGGTAGGCTGGGGCAGGATAATTGCTTGAACCTGGGAGGCGGAGGTTGCAGTGAGCCAAGGTCATGCCACTGCACTCCAGCCTGGTGCCTAGTGACGGAGTGAGACTCTGTCTCAAAAAAAAAAGAAAAAGAAAACACCAGGGAGGAATATATTATTAAATAAAATCTGAATCAGAAAGATGATCAAGCTGAAGAATTAAGAATATAAATGGATACAAGTGAGCAGGGCCACCAACCATGTTGTATAACTTAGGATCAAAAGATTAAGGGTGAGGTTTAGCTCCTCCATGCAGCAGCTATGTGAATACTGAGTATTTCTTAGCAGCAATTTCTTTATTTTGAAAGTGGAAGTAATATTACCTGCCACCTAGCATTTTCATGAAATTAAATTGAATAAAAAATTTAATAGAACTATGCAACTATGGGTATTCAAGAACATTGAATGAAAGAGAATAAGAGAACTTCTATTTATAGACTATCCAGTAAATAAAATACACAGTGCTAGATCCTTTTACATGTCATCTCACTTGAAAATTATGGTGGCCCATGAGGGAGAGTGTTAGGCACTGATTCCAGATGAAGATATCAAGATACAAAATAGTTAATTTGTTTGTTGGCCACATCTCAGCTGAACAGACATCTTCTGTACCTTAGACAACAAGTTAAATGGTTTAGGCAAAAAGATGGTAAAGACGCTCAGAGTAGGAGCTTAAAGAATCATGATTAGTTTTGTTTGAAGGAAAAATAAGTATAGAAAATGGAAATAACAGAGATGTGTGCATACATTGAGCTATCTGTATTCGTTTATGTGGTCAACATGGCTTTTTCTGAAGTATTTGTAGTTTGAATGTTGAAACCCAACATACTAGATTCTTTGAGACTTCAGTGTCAGTGTCATTATTTATTACTCAAACCAGTGACTACTTTAGAAGTTTGAAAGATTAGTTCAGAAACCTTTTCTGCACAAGAAAATATTATTTCCATTTAAATGCTGCTTTCATGTACGTGAGGACTTATTGAACTTCCCTAGATAGGCGCTTAGATAGATTCATAAAATAAATTCTATTATCATTTTCTTAATTGCATGAAAACAAAAGCACATTTCAGGCATTTAAAAGTAATATAACTATCAAATATTATTTCTATTTTCTTGACTTTGTGGAGACATTTGAGCTCTACCATGTCTGCAAGTGTGTGCCAATACTATCATAGCTCTGAGTCCGGCGCGGAGCTTTTCCTGGTGGTGTTAAGAGACTTGGCCTAGAGCTACCTTTTCCAACATGGGGGAAAAGGTCCTAGAATTAGTGTTAGGCGACCAATATTCTCAGGGGATAAACAAGGCTCTTTGAGGATTTTTAGGTCTTCGGTGTTTTCACCTATTTAGGATGCTTGAAAGTTGGGTAATAACATATTCTAAATCATATTCCATGTTTTACAGATAAATAGAAATGTTCTTCACAGCTGCTATCTTTGGTGTCTTACATACATAAATACTAGCCTCAGAAACAAGTGTAATGGTGAAGAAGGTTGTGCTTATTTCTTGATCCCCTTTACGCCTTCTTCACCTTTCTTTTTAAAGGTGAAGATGGTAGCTGCAGTAGTCACAGCATCAGCAGCATAATTGATAGCTACAATACCATCTATTAACTTCAATAACTGATGCTTGAGATACTGTATTGTCTCATTTCTCCTAGAATTAACTCTATGAGTAAAGATATTGAAAGCAAGGGCTTAGATGTCTTAAATCTCTGGGTTTAAGTCCTGACTGTGCTACTTCCTGTCTCACTATACTCCAGTATGACCTCTTTTTAATTTAACTATTAAACTTTTTAATGTAACTATTTTAATTTAACTAGGGTCATTGAAACCCTAAGTAAGGTCATACTCTGAGGTACTGAGACTTAGGACATCAACACATCAACATATAAATTTGGAGGGGTCGGGAAAGGGGACAATTGTCCAATCAGGACATGTAAATTTTATTTTTCAGTTTTGGCAATGACTAAGACCTTCACTACAATGTTGACATCAAAAGATTGTCTTTGAAATTAGTGGAAGACAACATAGACCTAGCTATTTCCCCTCTACCCAGACATGATTTCCCTACTTAATGTGGTAACTCAGGCTAGCTGGTGGAGAAAATGATAAGAGCACCACACTTGGGCAAGTAAGAAGAAATGAGGCAGGCAAAAGCCATCTCATTTTACACATCCACAGATCAAAAATGAGGAGGCTTAATCTTCCACATCAGGCCTGGGAATTCTGGCTCCTGAGGAGACATAGAAGTAACAAAAGATCTTTACTTACCTTAGCGGACAGAGTCTGAACAATATACCCATCCAGGGAGGTCAGTATATTATTATGTCCCTCCTCAATAAAGAAAGAGAAATGCAAACATATTGTGGGATATTTTGAAAACCCAGATGATGTTGGTTACCATGAACTCACAACAGTAACAACCTGATATTTTGTGTTATTATTTCTAGCAGTTGCTTAGTGGTACAGGGATAGCAAGGTATAACATTTTGAAAGGTAGTTTTGATGGAAAAATAGATATCAAGGTTATTTATGATATGGCTGAAATGATGGACTATAAGTACCAGATTTTATACAAAGGATTTTAAAAGAAAAGAAGATTGAAGGCTATATATGTACACACACACACATACATGTCATATTTAATTCTTTGTACATAATACCTACATTATATAGGTCTATGTAATATAATAAAGTTAATGTTGCATATTATATGTAAATTGATATGTATATGTAAGTGATTGTGTGGAATAACATGGGATGAATAAAATAACTAGAAAGATGGATGTGTTAAATGGAAAGGTGCTCAAAAATTTAGTGAACGAGTATTT